ATGCAGCCTAAGAATTTAACTTTAAAATCTGCATTAAAGGAAAGCTGCAAAGACAAACTCCCAATTTTAAGAAATTGTCTGGTCTACAATTATCATTGTAGAATTGCATCTACAGTATGCATGCATTTGTAGCATCCCCACAGTAAGACTCTCTTTCTTTTTCTGGTTATTTTTTTTCACTAGCTAACATGTAGAGCTGGCATTGGCACAAGACTGAAACAAAATAAATGATTCAATATACTTTCTTTTTTCTCAAAACATTGAAAACATGCAGTTTCATGGGTGCCAGGAACCGACTTCAAATTTGTCACATGACGCCAAGTCATTGCTATGGTTTGTCCAAAATCAGCTATAAACCATTCCCAGCACAAAACCAGCAATGCAAAATTGGTTTTCTGAGTGGCATTTTTAACAAAACAGTTTAAAAACAGTGCATTTTCTGTGATTTACCTTTGCATTCAGGTTGTCTTCCTGTCCAACTTCCATTTGCCATACATGTCCTTTCTTCTGAGCCATGGAGGATATATCCAATATCACAGCTGAAATGCACCGTGCTTTTAATTTTAAAATTATTTTCTTCCCTAGATCCATGACCAGGAATACCTGGATCACCACAAGAACCAGCTGTATCACCTAGAATTTAGAATGTAAAGATTAGAATAAACATGAAATATTATTATGATACTACATTTAAAATATGTTTATATGTATTTACAAATAAACTTATATTTTTATTTTTAGAAAATAAAACACACACTTCAGTGGGTGTGAATCCTAATAATTATAAAATTACTTGATTCTCAAATAATTTTCTTTTAATTTATGTTATATAAGTACTGAATAGAAACTTGTGGTAACAAAATTATCAACAAGAATAGGAAAAGAAAAAGAAAGCAACAAAAGTTTGATCACTTCTCATTTAAAATACAGATTTCTAGAGCAAAATCAAGGTCCTGATCATAAAGATAATTTATTTGTTTCTCTATAATAAGTGTTGATAAGTTACCTCCTAGTTCTATGGTATCATTAGAGTTTAACTTGTTTACCACTGAATGAAAGCTCCAGTCAACAATTTTATCTATATCTGACACGAAGCATTTCCCTGATTTATAGAAATGTTGAAAGCTGACCTCAAGACTGCCTGATAGCTAAAATCTCCCTTGGCTAGAAATGTTTAAGTATTTCTATTTCTCAGACAGATGGTTAAAGTTTTCTACTATCTTTTGTGTATCAATATTAATATAATCAACACAGTCAATAATAATAATGACAATATCTAAGATTAGATATCTAAATCTTCATTTATGGTAAGAACTTTTAGGAAGATTTCAAAGGTCTTTAGGCTAATTTTCTGTGTCATAAAAGAGTATATAAAAGTTATATTGTATTAGTGAGTTTCAACACAAAGGAGTTGAATTCTACAATTCTTGGAGCTGCACTTTTCAGGTTTTTACCTACAGATATTCAACTTCTAGTTTCCTATGACAGCTTGCAAATAAACTGGACAAAAAATAATTCAAACATCATATTTTTGAGAGCATATCTGCATTATTTTGAACTTAGCTTCACTAATGTAAATAAGGAAGAGTTATTTTAAGAACCAGCTAGAAAGCTTTAAATCAGCTATGGAAGAATGCCATATCTTCACATTTGAGACAATTATATTAAAAGATTTGTACAAATTATCTAAACAATGCTCTCTGTAGAAGCATAATTTTCTGGTATTTATCTAAGCTTAAATAGCAGGAATAAGAGAAGTCCTTACATAGAAGTAGTAAACAAAGTTGTCTGCTCCAAGTACTCAGAAAACCAAAAGGGACAAAGTCACTATCTAGGGGTTCCGAGGGAAGCTGAGAACCTGGAATTGTAGATGAAGAGAAAAACAGAGCTTCCCTTGCCTTGCTTGGCACATTATGGGTGTAAACTTTTGAAGTGACTAATTGGATGTATCTCTTTACTAAAAGAAGTGTGTGCAGAACTGAATAGTGAAAGGAAGAAAAGCAAAACTAGCTGGCTTTGTTTTGATAACCATGGCGTAAGAGCAAGTACTTGGTTTAGTCTGATACATCCGAGAAGCTGACCATGTTTTTGTTACTTATGAAGGTAATTCATGTGCCAGCCTGCATTTTTGTAGGTCACTCTTACTACTTTTGGTTTCCTTTCATATAGTCATGCTTTCTTCTTCCCCCACAAATTCATTGACAAGCAATGTAGCCAAGCACCTCACAGGAGCTGATGTGCAAACTCCCACAGGCTTGTGGTAAAAAAGAATCCAGCTATGGAGTCTCAGTCCGAGGGCACGTCTGGAGAGTCAAAGAAAAGGGCAGGATCTTGCTTGGAAATGCAGAAAAGAACAAACCTGGCAGCTCAAAAAACCTATCCAATCCCTTGCCGAAGCAGCTCACTAATTCAAGAGCCAATTTTATCATTACTTAAATTAACCAATCTTAAACTGACACCTTTCATTTGAGAATAATTGAACAAACTAATGTAGTCATGCCTATTCCATTATGAACTGTTATAGCATGTATCTGCAAAAAGTACATAGTCCTATGTATTTTAATGCTTTCAGAAATCACAAATTAACTCAAGTATGACAAGAGCTAGCTGAGTGACTGGTTCAAAATCACTGACTCAGTTTAGTCTCATCTCTGTTTACCCATTTCATTATGCAGCACAGATCAGTAAAGCCTGCCAGCCCTGTTTAGAAAGAAATTAGTTCCAAATTAGTGTAAGCAAAAATTTATAAGCTTTCAAAGTACTTCATCTCCAAGCTACTTATGTGACTTAGTTTGAAAATAGTGTGATACATATCTTTAGAGTATTTTAATACTTTTGTTTTGTGAATCTGTATCTTAGATTTTCCAGTATTATTTATTTAGATTATGAAGAATCTGGGAAAGGGACTATTCATTATTCTATACTTGTAAAGTCTCTACAATTACATTCAGGTTTTGGCAAGCTACTTGGCCTTATGCCTTAAATAATTTTATGAAAAACTGAAAAAACGCTTTTTGCTATGCCAAGTACAAATTACAAATTACATATTCCTCTTGTAAATGAAATCATGTATTCTTTCCTAAAGCCTAATTAATATCCTGAATTATTACTCTTTTAATCTTAAGGAGGTTAACCATCATCTCTTTTGATTGAAGGTTACAAAAATAATTTTTCTAAATGACTAATCACATCAGGAAGTGACAGTGATATAATCAATGATATCATAACAGAACATATTTTTATTACCTCATGCAGCGACTCATCTAACTGATTTTCACAGTCAGATATGCGCCATCCTTCACCCACATGTGTAACAAATTCTTGTCTGGCACTTAGGATATTTAGACTATTTAAGTAAATACATAACCACTACAGCATGTATGAAGAATTCTAAGCTGCTGCAAATTTCTGACTCCAGCTGAAATCCATGTGATGACTGAAAATTGTGTTTCTGAATGCCAATAGATATCAATGGGAAATGGCAATTCCTTCTAGCTTTAGGACACGAAACATTAAGTGCCATGTGACATAAAGGAAAATGTATTGAGGATGATGTGACAAAATTTGCTTGCCTTATGTTTGCTGACGTAGCGTTTTCTGTTTGAATTCTTCACCGTTTATGAATAGGACTAGCATGCTGTATCTTTTGTCAGCCAAACATTCTATATTATTTGGGTTTACTATCATCAATCAAAAAATACAAAATTTAACACTTTAAGATGCATTAAAAATGATGAAATCAAATTATCAAGGCTAATAATGAAAGCATTGATTTCTTTGAACTATATAATGGAAATATGAAGATGATATGAAAGAACTTCCCTCCAGTATTTATTGAGAAATAAAACTGATAACATGATAACCTCTACCACAGGCTGTGTTCACATACTCTAAGATATGAAATGGGATTTAGCCAAATCCCAAATTGGTTGACTTGGATTTCTTTTGTTTCATTTGATCATTGCTGTTAAAGTAAATCAAACTGAATTTATGAAATAGAGTGTTCCTAAATATTAAGTTGTTCAGAAGATATAACTTGACTTTGGTGAGGGCTAATCTACTACAAAGATTAGAAGGCATTCCCTCAAAAGCCAGACATCCTACCTTGAAACTATGTGGAGCCTTCCTGGCCTTATTATAAAGACAGATGTATTATGCAATTAAGATATACCTGAGGTGTCATCAAGTCAGTAGATGTTTTGCAAGTTAAAATCATCTTGAAGAGTAAATGATGCAAGGCTTCCCTGTGGAAACTTTAATATTCTTTCCAGAAGTCACACAAAAAATATTTTAAAAATAAATCAATTCCTTTAATGTTATATTGAATGTGCAATTTCCTATTAGCATTAACTATTAATATAAGCTATTTTCTTGCTAATATTTTATACCTATACTGTGTTTATTTTCTTTACTTCTACTGAGATACTACTTGAATTTTATACATGATTTTCCACATTTTAATATAGACTTCTGATAAGATCAAAATAAATTGAAGACAACGTCAGGGCAGACTCATTAAATCAAAAATATTACCTGAGCAATGTGGAAGAGATCCACTCCAGTGTCCATTTAACTGACACGTGCGAGATGACTGTCCCAACAACGATCGTCTACCTGTGCAGGTATAATGAACAGTAGACCCAAACGTATATTTATCTCCAGACAGGACTGCATTGGGAGGAACGCCAGGATGGCCACAGTCAACCACTACAATGCATAATTATTGGAGATAAAAAAGGATTATTATCACTGATCGAACAGTCTGAAGTTATGATTTTCATAACTCCCTGTAGAAACATTGTGAAGAGGCTGACATTTTAGCATTTGGGGGGTTTAGCATTTGTGATTAGAAATGCAAAATATATTAAAAATCAAAAGCGGCAAAACAAATGTTTGGAGATGTCAGAAAGGTATTTTAGGCATAGATAATGATGTCCAAAGTCACTCATTCACAAAGTTGATCTTTATAGCATGGAAGTATGCAAACACAAAATAAAACACAGGTTCATGCATGCACTCTTGAGAGAAAAAATACAGAAGGATAGTATGTGCCAAAGTCACTGCTGAGGTAGACAATATGGAGACCTTCAGTTCTCATCTAATGGTCCCAAATCATTGTCCACAATGTCTGTTAAGTTTATAAACAAGATCATCTTTGCTAAATTTTGCTGTGAACCTTAATGCTAGTATGCTGAATTCATATTCATGGTTTGGGTTATTTAAATATTGTATTGCATAAATAATTGTTTACATATTTTTAACATATTCCTAGGCATCATCCATTAATGTTAATTGCACAGAGGCTGGAGGGAATTTCTATAGGATAGCAATCTCTAAAATGGTCATGGATAAACTCTTTGTCAGCTGTTTACTGAGTAATTTTTTATCATCATAGATAGTCTGATCTTGCTGTTGTCCCAAGCGAAGTCCAGAAAGCATTATAATGGCATAAGTCAATAACTGGGTACTGTAGTTCTTAAGTTTCCATGTGATTATGGCTTTGCAGCCAATGGAGGCCAAATATTGGCAAATTCAATGGATATGTTTTGACCTTCTATCCTTGCCATCAGGCATCATTGTGCTGAAGCATTCAGAGATGTTAGTTTCAGTTATTGCATTTCACAAGTTTTCTAAGCTATTGGCTACATACAGTAACAATATAATTGTGCTACTTCAGCTGCTACCGAGACCCTCTATCATCACTGCACACACAAAAATGCATATAAATATGATTCTTCTAATTGCTATCATGAGACTGGTGGAAATGTTGTGTAAAATAATATCTACTCTAGCCTACATTCTGTATAGAAGCATACACATTATCTACTTACTAATGCATTCAGGTAGAGGTTTATCCCAGTGGCCATTTGGTTGACAAACTAAAACTGAAGAGCCAAATAAAAAATATCCAGGATTACAGTCATAAAATACCACTGTGCCATATGTGAAATTTCCGTGTTCGATTTTACTTTCTCTTATAGAATTTGCAGGAATTCCAGGATCAGAACAATTGACCACTAAAAAGAAAAAAAACACATATTTGAGATTCGTATAAATACAGTTTACTAAAATTGTTTTTAAATAAATGCTCTCCTATCCTTTACGTGAGAAACCTATAATGTGTTGCTACCCTGGTTTAATATCTAATGATATTGAAGTAGGAAGATGATATGAAACTAGATGCTAAAACTAGAAGATGCTACACTCAGAGTAAATAAAAGGAATGTTTCTTCATAGACTGTGATGATGCTGTATAAGTATTTAGTTATTCAACCAATATACTCAATTTACACTCTTGCCTTGACATAAATTATTGCCCACAGCTGGAAACAGGTCATGGGGTTAACCCACACAGACAGGTAAATATACTTATGCTCGTATGCTAACATCCTGGCAATGACAAATTAGCTTTAAGGTAAGACAGCGAAATATCCCAACAAATGGGTATGTGTTTTTAAAAATAGAGATATATTTTGCTGGTTAAGAATATAGATGGATTTTTTGAGTCCTCAACTACTTTAGAATTTACAGATCTAAAAATCACTGAATTTTTTTTAAATTTATTTCCCTTTTTTTTTTTTGTAACTTACAGCTGTCTGGTGAGGGGAACGTAATATTTATTTTGGAAGTCATTGAGATCTTTTTAACACTTTCCAGGCAATGGACTTCTCTGTTCAAGTAAACACATCATCATGTACTCAAAGTTACTCTAAAAAAAATACATTTCAGGTAAAAAATACTGTTTCTATATTATTGTCATCAAATGCGTGCTTATATGTATACACATGCATGTACTTGTGTGCAAATATATATAAAATACATCTGCATGTGTATGCCCATGGATGTGTGTACATAAGAGTATCATCATGTCTAGTATTCTGAAACTAGCTATTTGGCAATGCTGCAGACAGTGTAAAAACAGCAAGTGCACTGCGGAATTTATACGACAACTGAAAATTCAGCTTTCACAATACAGTGCAGCAGCTTTTTCTATACTATTGCATGTTAGGTAGTTTACAAATATCCAAGGTAACTTTTTTTTTTTAACTTCAGTGTAAATAGAAAAAAATCATATTAATTAGATTTGAATTCACTGCAGATTTCAGGCACCACTAATAACGTTCTATACAATGTTCAATACAAACTTCGTTCTTTTTATTTTTAAAGACTGTTCTAAAACCACTGGAAGATTTTAGGACTGTGTAAAATTTAAAAGAATAACCTGATCAATTCATATACTGATCCCTACAGGCCAAAACCTTATTAGTTTGGCACATTACAAGAACATCGAGGTGATTTGTAGCAAATGAACCAAACCTGGTATTTATTAGGTACACTTGATGCACTGTACATGTTTAGTATTGTAAATTTAAAACATAACAACTTCTCATCAACAAAAGGTCCTTGGAATTTTAAGTTCTGTAAGCTATTTTCTTAAGGCATAGTGATCAAAGTGGAGAACACCTACCGGAGGAAAACTAGAAAATAAAACAAATACAAATACATAACATAACTTAGGCTGTGTACGGATAAAAGTTCACAGAGGCTACTGGGATGACGTCAAAAAAACAAATAATATAATTTCTGCATATGCACAAGTACATTTTTCTAAAAGAGAAAAATTAACACATTTTAAAAGTGCATAACAACAGATTTAAAAAGGACAATGGTGATAAAGCCTTCCTAAAAGTACTTATGAAAATTCAAACAGAGCTAATTTCATAATATTATTTTAAGTGAAAGGATTTAAATTAGAATACCCAGAAGTGTTGAGAACGAACAGAAATGGTTGTAAAAAATCACAATAAAATCTAAAAAAAGGTAAAGATGAGCAGCCAGATCAATGGAAACATAAAAGGGAAAAAAAAGTATGTTTCCTTATGCCCCTATTAGAACTACGTGACTAAAAATAAAGAGAACATTAGTTCAGGATTTAAGCTCTTATTTATTTTTACATAACTTTAATTAAGGAAAGTGTAGAAAATATTTTAAGAGATCTATACAAACTGGACACATAACAGTTTCTCTGCCACAGTTTTCCTGGCAGCCTGAATGTAGAACAGACCTAACTAAGAAAATCGTAAAATCACAAAACCGTGCAACATAAATCATAGATCATAGAATGGCCTAAGCTGGAAGGGACCTTAGAGATCATTTAATCCAACCTCCCTGCCACCAGGGACGCCACCTGTCGACTAGATCAGGCAACGCATAGGGAACATCATCTTTAATAATTTGATGCCTGTTTGTAAGTGAGGCATGATCTAGCCTTGATGGTGTCCCTTTTATTTAGTGTCAGTTTATTTTTCAGCCTTAAATTTCAAGCCAAGTTTGAACTCTGTAAATACTGGCACTCTTACCTTTGCATATCGGAGGCGGGTGGCTCCACTGCCTGTTAGCCTGACACTGTGCTTTGGTTGGTCCTTGCATAACATACCCAGTATTACAGGAGAATGTCACAACATCATTGAAGTTGAAACCATTTCCACTTGTTCTTCCATAAATAGGACTACCAGGGTGACCACAGCTAACAGCTAGGATGGCACAAAGCAAAGAAACAAAACCAAACACTTTTCATGATTTATGATATAACAGGTAATTATCACAATCATTATATAATGGTATTTTAAAGTGTTGATACTACACTGAGTACTTTTCATGAAAGATTCCTGTTTCTCGGAACTAAATAAATAATGAGACACACTTCAGTAAATATTCAAGCATGTATTCAATTATTTAAATAAACTGAATAGAACTGGCCACGCAGCAATCAAGGTAAATGCAGAAAACTTTCCCTAAAAAAAACAGGAGAAAACTAAACACTTGCTTTTCATTACATATAGTCTGAAATTGAATAGATATGTGAAAATGTGTCTTAATCCTCATGTATTACTTCTTACAACTATGTCTTAGTATTGTCTCAAAGTTTTATCTTTGAGGCCTTAGTGAAGTAATAAATTTATGACTGGATATATATGAAACCTTATGGGCAGTGTAAAAGTTTTCTCGTTTTTATACAAGACTACAGAAGGTAAAGTTCCTTTTCTGTGCCTACAAAGACTAGATGCAAAAATATAAGGAAAATAAAACACAGATTTATTTTCCCAAAATAAGTCAAAAAAAGTATTGTTCTCTATGATTTCACAGACTCTAATTGTTGATAAATACGTTCATCAGTAATTTAAAATAAACCAAACAAAAACGTAAAATAAATTAACACTCATTTTTTCATCACTGTAGATACTAATTTTGTTCTAATATTTTTTAGATTTTTTAATGATTTTTAAACTATTCTTAATGAGTTAATTTAGTGATTTTCTAATTTTTTTTTAAGTTCGACAAATGTATGTTATTTTTCTCTATGTTATCATGATATTTCTAAAAGAAACCATCCATATAATATAAATAAAATACTTTTTTTAGTAAAATAAAAAAAATGCTTCTTAAAAACTATTACAGCATATAGACAAGTCACAGGGTATTGTATAAATGAAAATTAAATTGAATTCTGTGTATTCTAGTAATATTAGTAAGCAAGTTATTTCAATAAAACATATTTTTTTATGTTGCTGGTATCAGAAATTTTTATATAAGGAATTGCATTTTTTCCCCCAAGAGAGTAAGTGTAATCATACACTAAACTATTGGTATTTTTAAACTGACAGGTAAAGTTATTCATTCAGACCAAAAAGAGGGTTTTTATGTACATATTGTAGCAGTAAAAATTATGCTTGTGAAAACAGAAACATAAAATTTGCAAAAAATTTTGAGTAATATCCATGCTTGTAGCAAGACATAACAGTAGTAGAATGTCTGCCCACTGTATAAGCAAGAAGGGTGAATTCAAAAGTGATACAGTCAGAATCGCTGAATGTAAATACTGCAAGAATTCAATTAAAACATCTAGACTTAGGTAAATAAAGTGAGACTATTTTTCTACACTTCTTTTGAACCCTTGATCTGAACCAGAGCTGCTCCTAAGTATTTGCCACAAAGTTAGAGGCAACTGCTGTTTATAGCAGTCTTTTGCAAGCCTAAGCTTTTTCCCCAAGTCTTGTTTTCTTTCCTGAAGAGCTGTATTATGCATTATCCTGTATTCAAACAAGAAGCTTCCATTTGATCAGAGGAAGAATAAACATCTACTTTCTTTGATGTCAGCACATCTAAAATATTTTTTTCCAGTTCTAACATTAATATTTTAATTTTGAAATTCTTGATTAGCAGTGTCTAATTTTATTGCTAAAAAGGAAAAAATACAAACCAGAAAACAAAATAACAGTATCTGCAGTTTGTTGAAGCAAACACTTTAACTATCAGTATTGACAATGCAATCCAAGACTATCTGCTTATCAGACTGTTGCAGTCAAAGTAAAAATCCATGAAATATTTCCAAATGCCTCTAAAGGCTATAAAGCCATTTTAAAATTTGAATACTTTGGTGCCTAAGTCTCATGACTTTTTGAAGTAGTTTCATACTCATATATAAATGACAAGTTTTTAGGAGCCAAAAATTTCAATGGAAATTTTAAGTGACAACATTAAACTTCACCTGGTGGATGAAACACAGATTTTAGTTGGCCATATATTCTGAAGATCTGCTTTAAATTTTATTTTTTTTAATGAATAATAAGTTGCTAAGTCACTCCTCATCTTGCCTGACAGACAGTCCTGCAACACAGATCAGTATGTGTTTCCATGCTTACTTACGCACACAGGATGGAAGCTGACCAGACCAGTTGTGATCCTGCTGACATATTCGTACGGAAGAACCAATCAACCGAAACCCAGGACTGCACTGGTATACAACTGTGTCTCTATATCCATAATTTTCTCCAATTACTTGACCATTGACTATAAGATCTGGAATACCACAGTGACCAGCTAGATTTTTCAAAGTAAATAAAAACAATCATAGAAAAAACAATTAGTAAATATGCCAGAGAAATTTCAAATATATCTCCTTAATTAACACAAGGAAATGCTGAAGATCTTTCAATTTTTTTTAATTGACTTCATTCAAAGGTTTATTTTTCTTAACTGAGGCAATAGTGCAGTATTGATTTGTATTTGTAGCACTGTATACATACAAAATATTTTTAAAAAGACAGTGTACCAAAGAGATTACATGTCATGTATGTTAAGAAATTTCTTTTTAAAAAATACAAGTAACTCCTTTTTATTAAAATCTGTAAAATTCCATATTATTTTTCTTGGGTTTATTTTGTCAAAGATTAAATTTAAAAAAGTTAATTTCACACCACTATGCTTTTAAATAAATACTATAGATCTATATACATATAAATAAAACAATATAAATATTATAAATATCAATCCATTATTAATATATGTGGATGTTACAAAAACAGCCTTCTTACAATGGAAACAAATTAACTTGGACAATTTATTGCTGGAATATGACTCTTTAGATTGTTGTCCGTCCTTCCTCTCCTATTAACCCCAGAGAAATCCTGAAGAGATTAGTATGTTTGAGTAATCTGAAGCATTTTGCCTCAGTCTTTCAGGATTAGGATCTTCCTATCAGCAAATCTGATATTTTCTTATAACTTGAATTTGACAACTTAAGCCTCGTATACTATTTCATCAACTGAATCAAGATAAAACTGACAGAATATACAATATAGGTCATAAACAATATAGGTAGTATGTGAACCTTTACACAGATTAAATTGATGAGTGCAGTATGTCAAGGTTTAGGGCTGGGATGACCACCAAATTCTGACAGATGCTCTCTGGCTGCTCTCCCTTCCCAGTCGGGAGAGGAAATGGACTAAGGCAGAGAGACTTACAGACTGGAAAAGAAAAACTAAAACAGGTTTAATAAAACAATAATAGTACTAATGAGGAAATAATTAAAATAATGAACTATATACAAACCCAAACTATATACAAACAAATGTATACAAACCCAATATTCAATCCAACTCCCCCCTGGAGAGCAATCACCACCGATGCTGCAGGGCAGGTGGCACCAGGGAAGTCCCAGGCTTGGCAGCAGAGGGGAACTGGAGACAGGAGCCAGATTCTTGAACTCAGGATTGGGATCAAAGGCAGAACAGATGGAGTGCTCAGACCCTTGTCCTGTCCATTGCTCCCTGGAGGTGCAAACTTTTACTTCCTTGCGACTCTGTTTACTTCCCAGCACTTCCAGCGTGACACACAAGATCCAGCAGTGACCTTGGTTACTATAGGAACAAGTATAAGCCAGAGCCTTTCTACACACTAATCTCAGGCAGTATCCAAAACTTCAGACATTACCACTTCTAGTAGCAGACATTGTCTGCAAAAACATGCCGTTAACTTCAGAACGTGCAGCCTCTTAGAGAGACTGAGCTGAAAAGTGAAATCGTTGAATAGAATTGGTTCTGTTTAGCTCAAACCAGGACACAAAGGCAAATGCAAGATCCTGCACCTAGCCCAGCAGGGGCTAGGATCTGCATGGTTGGGGAGCAGACTTGATGAAAGGGACCTGGGGGTCTTTGTGGACAAGTAGCTGACCAGAAGTCAACAATGTGACACTGCAGCAACACAGACAAATTGGATTCTGGGCTGCACCTGCAGGAGCATTACTGGCACAGATAGAGGCATGATCATGCCAGCATACTCAGCGTTTGTCAGGCCACAGCTGGAATACTGTGTCCACTCTAGTCTCCACTACTGAAGAGAGATGCAAACAGAATGGAGAGGGTCCAAAGCAGAAGTTTTATCTGACTGAGAGATGTAAAAAAAAAAAATAAATCAAAGCAGATATCAGCAGCATCATCTACCCAAACAAACAAACATAAATAGGATGGACTCAATTGTACTTTTTTCACTTTCAAACTACCATCTCTCATCTAAATGCATGTTGTAAGCTGTTCAGTATATTCGCTACTGAAAGGCTATGTAATGGTATACATAATTCGTGTTAAAAGAACCTTCAAAAACATTACTGCAATTTCCACTAATTTATAGAGCTGAATAAATCCCCTAAGTTGCAATAAAGTCACAGACTCATTAATATTTTCCAGAAGTTTTTTTCTATGTTTGCTTTATTTTCCCCACTCTATTTCACACATCCACAGAGCGGGACTCCCTCAGAGGAAACAAAGACCTTTGTTTTACAATAGTTGCTATCACTATTTCTCCAATATCACCAAAAAAAAAAAAAAAGGAAGAAAAAAACCCAACCTTCAAACCAAAGACAAAACCTTGCCACCTTCCACACCGTATCTGGAAGAGTTATTATTACTTAATTCTTTTTCTGTTCTGTTCTTTTTTCGTTATATCTCTTCTAAAAGCAATTTGTTTATTTTTCTAATTACTTTAGCAGAATTCTTCCCTTTTGTCATTTTTCTCTTAAGATATTTGCGAAGAAAAGAATATCAAAATGTTCACTATACATTAAGGACATGCTCATATTCGTTACTGCATATCCTGGTAGGTCTTATGGTTACTTCTGCTATTAATTTATCAGGACTTCCATTTGAATTCTTTTTTTTTTTAAGAGATATATGACAAATAAATATATTTATTTCTTATTATTAATGTTCTGAAATTCATTTCTAAAGTACTATTAGGAAGCCTTTGATGCTTTTCTTTCTGTATTCACAGAATCACAGAATTACTGAGGCTAGAAAAGACCTCTGAGATCATCAAGTCCAGCCTATGACTCAACAGCATTGCAATGGTTAGGCCATGGCACTAAGTGCCACATCCAGCCTCTCCTTAAACACCTCCAGGGATGGTGACTCCACCACTTCTCTGGGCAGTGCATTCCAATGTGTTCGCATCTCTCGATATAGGTACATATATATATATATTGAGTTTCGGATTTTGAAGGTTTTTTTGAGGATGGAAAGTTTTCAAAGTCTGACAAACCCAGAAACTGCATATGTATAGTTTTTTGAGAAACTGTCTTTGTTTCCAAATGAGACATACTTACAGTGCAATGGCACCAAAAATCAAATCCATTCCTTCATTTTATTTCACAGCTGTATCCATAAAACCTTTTTCCACCCACTTGTATTTTATACATATCATCTATCATACAATTGATGTCAGTTTTGTCACACTTCTATAGTCAAGGAATAACGTATGATTTCATCACTACACAAAACAGTGCAAAGACATCAAGGGACATAATCTTAAATCTGTTCTTATCTGAGAAATATGTCATACTTACCCCAATTTAATTATTATGGAAGAGGAAGATTTTAACTGTGATATTTGGTGTAATGAAGCTGAATAAAATTGTAACACTTGTTCCTGTAACAATCATAGAATCATAGAATATAGGTTGGAAGTGACCTCAAGGATCATTTTGTCCAACCTTCCATAGCAAAAGCGAGGTCTAGATAAGATGGCCCAGCATGCTGTCAAGCATAAGCCTCCAATATTGAGGAATCCATCACTTCCTTGGGGATATTATTTCCTCTTGTGTCCAATCAGAATCTTCCTAGGTGTAACTTGCACCCATTACCCCTCTTCTTTTACATGTGACTCATGTGAAAAGGGAGTCTCCATCTTCTTTGTAGCCACCCTTTAAATACTGGAACATGTGATAAGCCTCCTTTTCTCAAGGCTGAACAAACCCATTTCTCTCAGTCTTTCCTCATACGACAGGCTTCTCAATTGTTTGAACATCTTTATGGCCCTTCTCTGGACCCTCTCCAACCTGTCCACATTTTATTGTATAGTGGGGACCAAAACTGGACACTATTCCAGGTGTGGCCTGACAAGCACTGAGTAGAGCGGGATAACAGCTTTATCTCTGTTGGTGATGTCTTCGTTGATGCAATCCACCATCATGTCGGCTTTCTTTGCCACTCTAGCACATTGTTCACTCACATCATGCTTGTAGTCCAGCAGGACTCCCAGATTATTTTCTGCAGACCTGCTCTCCAGCCATGTAGATCCCAGCCTGTGCTGCACTCCTGGATTATGTTTTGCTACATGCAAGACCTTACAGTTGTCCTTGCTGAACTTCATAAGACTCGTTAGCCCACTCTTCTGCCTATCCAGGCCTTCCCACGGGATGGCTCTCTCTTCCTAAGTGTCCACTTCCCTACTCGGTTTAGTATCATCAGCAAACTTCATCAGGGTACACTTGATCCCATCATTCAGATCCCTTACGAAGATATTAGAGAGTACTCAGCTCAGTATCAATCCCTGGGGGACCCTACCTGAGACAGTTTGCCAGTTTGCAGAAGAGCCATTTACCACTTCTCTCTGGGTGTGGCCTGTCAGTTCCCACCCACTGCATGGACCACTTGCCTAGACCATAACACATCAGTTACTCTGGAAGGAAGCTGTGGGGAACCATATCGAGAACCCTGGAGAAATCTGGGTAGGTGATGTCCACCGCTCACCCCATATCAACCGTGCAAGTTACTTTGTCAGAGAAGGCTTATCAAGCACAATTTGCTCGTAGTGAACTTGTGCTGGCTTTTCCCAATCACGTACTTCATTTGACTTGTGATAGTCCCCAGGAGGAATTGTTCCATAATACTAGCCTTCATTCAGTGCAACCAAAAGATGTGGCTGTCTTTTGCAATGGGATGGCTAAATCCAGATATAAAACTGCTCAGGAGCTATGCCCTGCAGATGGGGTGTTTCCACTGGGGACAGAACAGAAATGCTGAAATCTGAGTATCATATCTGTAAGTATGAACAAATCTACAAGAAAAAGAAATATAGCAGAAGACTGAAAACAGATGCAAAAAAGAAATGGGAAGAAAAGGACCGCTGAGAAAAAAATAAGCGTGCTTGGGAAAAAAAAAAGTTCAAACACTGAACAATAAAATTGTCTTCTTGGGGGTTTTTTATTATTTTTCTTGTTTGCCCAGAAATTTATTTTGCAAACAGATGAGAAAGAATTTATG